CCAATCTGAAATTTCTAAAAAAAAATAAAAAATGTGCTTGAATATTACTTACAGTTTGAGGTGAAATAGACTTGAGATCTTTATGTTTACCACATACAGTAGGTAGACTATAAGGTCGACTACAATCAGCTATTAATTCTACATCATCTGATAATCTTTCTACAGCTGATTTAATTCGTTCATCTTCTTGTCTTTCATTTATTTCTTCTTTTATTTCTTCATTTCTAACTTGTACTATCTTATTCTTATTGTAACATATTGGTGATGACGTCATATCCACTTCCATCATATTCTTTCTCATTTGTTGAGATAAATTACGACGAACTTTCTTCGGTCTACGGATTTCAAACTATCAAAAGAAAAACAGAAAATCGTTAGTATAACCAAAATAACCAAGTATAAAAATCACCAGCTTATAGTTAATCTAGTAAAAGCTGAATTGTTAAAACGAATTTTCACCTACCATATTTTCTTGGTGTAGATTTTCCATTTTCTATAGATTTTTGCCCAAGAAGAGAGAATGAAGTGATAATGATTTAAGATAAAATACATGACGATATTTATAGTGATAATGAATATAATGTCGAGTGAATTATATCATTATGATTACTAATCATTTTCTATCATAACTAATTATATTTCTGTTTTAATTACAGTTATTATATTTCTATGTGAGTAATATTTATATCTATACTGAATACTGTTCTTAATCCATGTTCACCTTTTTGTGGATTAACTGAAAACTATTGTTAGCATTTTACCGTGTATTTATCCAATAGCATCGAAATCATATCAGATTTTTCGATAAAATTGTAACTTCCAATAATCGTATTTGACCTATTTTTTTAAATAATCTTTATGACTTTATTCTTGATCCATTGTCAACATCATGCAATCAATATATGTATTACTATAGTGAATGATCCCCCAGATATGTTAGTTTGTACCTCGAATTGTACCCCACTTTATGTATGAGAAATTTTAAAATACGACTTTTTTTTTACTTTTTCCCCCATATGTATCAAAATGCACAAGTCACGTTGACTCTCTTTAGAATCTCCATGACATATTATGTTCAAATATAGATATGTTCGTTAAAAGGCTAATGAAATAATCTGAAAAGAAAATAGTAATTCTTTGTTCATTCTGGAGTATGGTAGGTATAACCTACAAAACCTAACCTAAAATGGGGCTTCATGACACAAAAAAGTTCATAGAGAATCATCTCTTC